CAGAGAGAGACAGGGTGAGACAGGGAGAGACACAAGGAGAGACACAGAGACGGAGAGATAGGGTGAGATGGAGAGACACACAGAGAGACACAGAGAGAGAGACAGGGAGACAGACAGAGAGACAGAGAGAGACACAGAGAGACAGGGTGAGACAGAGAGACACAAGGAGAGACACAGAGACGGAGAGATAGGGTGAGATGGAGAGACACACAGAGAGACAGAGAGAGAGACAGGGAGACAGACAGAGAGACAGAGAGAGAGACACAGAGAGAGACAGGGTGAGACAGAGAGACACAAGGAGAGACACAAGGAGAGACACAGAGACGGAGAGATAGGGTGAGATGGAGAGACACACAGAGAGACAGAGAGAGAGAGAGAGACAGGGAGACAGACAGAGAGACAGAGAGAGAGACACACAGAGAGACAGGGTGAGACAGAGAGACACAAGGAGAGACACAGAGACGTAGAGATAGGGTGAGATGGAGAGACACACAGAGACACAGAGAGAGAGAGAGAGACAGGGAGACAGACAGAGAGACAGAGAGAGAGAGAGACAGAGAGAGACAGGGTGAGACAGAGAGACACAAGGAGAGACACAGAGACGTAGAGATAGGGTGAGATGGAGAGACACACAGAGACACAGAGAGAGAGAGAGACAGGGAGACAGACAGAAAGACAGAGAGAGAGAGAGACAGAGAGAGACAGGGTGAGACAGAGAGACACAAGGAGAGACACAGAGACGTAGAGATAGGGTGAGATGGAGAGACACACAGAGACAGAGAGAGAGAGAGACAGGGAGACAGACAGAGAGACAGAGAGAGAGACACAGAGAGAGACAGGGTGAGACAGAGAGACACAAGGAGAGACACAGAGACGTAGAGATAGGGTGAGATGGAGAGACACACAGAGAGACAGAGAGAGAGACAGAAAGACAGAGAGACGGAGAGAGAGACAGACAGAGAGAGACAGGGAGATAGACAGAGAGAGAGTCAGGCAGAGAGACACAGAGAGACAGAAAGACAGAGACACAGAGACGGAGACAGAGAGAGACAGATAAAGAGAGACAGAGAGACAGACAAATAGAGACACAGAGACATAGAGATAGGGTGAGAGAGACAGGGAGATAGACAGAGAGAGTCAGACAGAGAGACACAGAGAGACAGAGACAGAGAGAGACAGACACAGAGAAAGAGAGACAGAAGGAGAGACACAGAGACATAGAGATAGGGTGAGCTGGAGAGACAGACAGAGAGACAGACAGAGAGAGAGACAGAAAGACAGAGAGACAGAGAGAGAGAGACAAAGAGAGAGAGACAGGGAGATAGACAGAGAGAGAGTCAGACAGAGATACACAGAGAGACAGAAAGACAGAGACACAGAGACGGAGACAGAGAGAGACAGACAGAGAAAGAGAGACAGAAGGAGAGACACAGAGACATAGAGATAGGTTGAGATGGAGAGACACACAGAGAGACAGGGTGAGACAGAGAGACAGAAGGAGAGACACAGAGACATAGAGATAGGTTGAGATGGAGAGACACACAGAGAGACACACAGAGAGACAGGGTGAGACAGAGAGACAGAAGGAGAGACACAGAGACATAGAGATAGGGTGAGATGGAGAGACACACAGAGAGACAGAGAGAGAAACAGAAAGACAGAGAGACGGAGACAGACAGACAGAGAGAGACGGTGAGAGAAACAGTGAGAGAGACAGACAGAGAGACAGAGAGAGAGACAGGGAGATGGACAGAGAGAGAGACGAAGAGAGAGACACGGAAAAAGAGAGACACACAGAGACAGTGAGAGACGGTGAGAGACAGGCACAGAAAGAGAGGGACACACACAACGACAGGGACACAGAGAGACAGAGATGGAGAGAGACAGAGACACAGAAATAAAGAGACAGTCACACAGATACAGAGAGACACAGAAACAGAGAGGGAGAGACAGGCGGAGAGAGGAGATGGAAAGAGAGAGAATGAGATTATTTTTCTGATATGAAGTTCCACGTGATGATGATGATGACATCAGCCACTTGGATCACCTGCTATCACTGTGGTGATGGCAAGTCTGCTCATCTGAAGCAGAGCTACACGGTATTAGTATACTGCGACCTTACATCCGGTAAGATAAACATAGTTTAGTCGATCGGTCTCTACATGTATCTCTATGGGTCTCTATGTGTATCTATGAGTCTCTATGTGTATCTCTATGGGTCTCTATGTGTATCTATGGGTCTCTATGTGTATCTATGGGTCTCTCTGTGTGTATCTATGGGTCTCTATGTGTATCTACGGGTCTCTATGTGTATCTATGGGTCTCTATGTGTATCTCTATGGGTCTATATGTGTATCTATGGGTCTCTATGTGTATCTATGGGTCTCTATGGGTCTCTATGTGTATCTATAGGTCTCTATGGGTCTCTATGTGTATCCATGGGTCTATGTGTATCTATGTGTATCTATGGGTCTCTATCTGAATCTATGGGTCTCTATGTGTATCTATGGGTCTCTATGGGTCTCTATGTCTATCCATGGGTCTATGTGTATCTATGTGTATCTCTATGGGTCTATGTGTATCTATGTATCTCTATCTGTCTCTATGGTTCTCTATGTGTATCTATGGGTCTCTATGTGTATCTATGGGTCTATGTGTATCTATGGGTCTCTATGTATCTATGTGTATCTATGTGTATCTCTATGGGTCTATGTGTATCTATGTATCTCTATCTGTCTCTATGGTTCTCTATGTGTATCTATGGGTCTCTATGTGTATCTATGGGTCTATGTGTATCTATGGGTCTCTATGTATCTATGTATATCTATGTGTATCTCTATGGGTCTATGTGTATCTATGTATCTCTATCTGTCTCTACGGTTCTCTATGTGTATCTATGGGTCTCTATGTGCATCTATGTGTCTCTATCTGTCTCTATGGGTCTCTATGTGTATCTATGTGTCTCTATCTGTCTCTATGGTTCTCTATGTGTATCTATGGGTCTCTATGTGTATCTATGGGTCTCCATGTGTATCTCTATGGGTCTCTATGTGTATCTCTATGGGTCTCTATGTGTATCTCTATGGGTCTATATGCATCTATGTGTCTCTATCTGTCTCTATGGGTCTCTATGTGTATCTATGTGGCTCTATATGTATCTATGGGTCTCTATGTGTATCTATGGGTCTATGTCTACCTATGTGTCTCTATGTGTATCTATGTGTCTCTATGTGTATATATGTGTCCCTATCTGTATCTATGGGTCTATGTGTATCTATGGGTCTCTATGTCTATACTCTTTGGTTCTATTCGGTAAAGTCACCACGTAGGTAAAAAATAAAACAACAAAATTCTCACGACGTTTCGGCCACAACACAAGCGGCCTTCATCAGGTGAAGGGATCCCGGCCTGTCTCGAGGACAGCGCTGGAGTGAAACACAGAGCCACGCTCAGACCGCGACCTTTAAGCTGTGTGAAAGTAATTAAGGTGCCTTGACAAAGGAATTAGCATAACAAATTAGCATTCGATCGGCGAACGTAGCATGATGAAAGGTGTAGAGAGGGTGAACATGCGGGTGCACATTCACCCGCATGTGCTGCAAAAAATATACTGTACCATTGAAAATTAGTTTAATGTTTGGTTAGATTTAGAACATCTTTCCAATGGTTGCTTAAATTGAAACCATCTTCTCGGTTGAAATTGTGTCTGTGTTTGTAAATCTGAATTGCCTCGTGAACAAATCTCTGATAAAAAAACCCGTGGGTTTGCAAAGAACCTTGGTATCGGAGAAAATGTATATCGTGATCACCCACAGCGTTGTAACAGTGATCAGCTACAGCAGAAGAATTCGTTCTGCCGTGTTTCAAATCTGATTTGTGCTCGCGAATTCGGTCAGAGACATGTCGCTTTGTCTCCCCGATATAGCAATCACCGCAGCTACAACTCAATTTGTAAACCCCGGGGTACTGTAAGTCAGGAATGACATCCTTCGCGGATGGGATCAGATCACGAAATTTTGTGTACTGTATTGAACCGGACCTGGATCTTGTGTTTGTTTAGAATTTTGGAAATCTTTTTAGTAACGCCTGCTATATATGGTAGTGTGATGGTTTTGACCGGAGTTTCAAGTGGTTGTGCTAATTCCTTTGTCAAGGCACCTTAATCCCTCTCACACAGCTTAAAGGCCGTGGTCTGAGCTTGGCTCTGTGTTCACTCCAGCGCTGTCTTCGAGACAGTCTGGTCCCTTCACCTGATGAAGGCCGCTTGTGTTGTGGTCGTGATTTTTGTTGTTTTATATTTTTTACCCACGTGATGACTTTACCGAATAGAACCAAAGAGTATGATAATTGGTGTTTTACCCTTTCATCTGGCAACAAAACTGACACCTTTCTGTTTGACAAGGAGTCATGTTGGCATTGAACCACAATACCTGCGGTCGGAATGCAAACAAAAAAAACATCATCTGGTCCAACACCATGTGAGAGACGAGGCTAGGGTGTGGACCAATCAATTTCAAGGACGGTGCCAAACACATAATCAGAGTTTACGTTTATTTGCTTGCATTCCGACCCGCAGGTATTGTGGTCAATGCAAAATCAATGCCTCCCCCTCCTCCCCCTCCTCCTCCTCCCTCCTCCTCCCTCCTCTTCACAAATAAACTCGTGACAGGCGATGGAATCGCGAGCAACGGCCGACACCCTAGCAAAAAAAACCTCAAAACAAGAGCGGACCCTGCAAACAGGCCGGATGCTTGACACCGAACAAACGCCACCGCCACCTCTTGCGCGGCGGATGAGCTCACGAATCTCCGGGGCAGGCTTCGTTGGCTGGCATCCCCGCAAGGCTTCGTGCTGTCGAATGCTCGTCGGGAGAGGGCGCGGGGCCGCGAGGATGGAAGTCCTCCTCCTACCTACCCCCTACCTACCCCCTCCGCCCGCCCCCGGGGCGTATTTACGTTCCGATGTTCTCGTCCGGTCGGGTCTGCGGGAGGTCGGCGTACCGGAGTGCGTCCTCATGTGCCGCTTGAGCCTGTAGGCGTCCTTGCTAGCGTAGCTGCACGCGCTGCACTGGAACGGACGCTCGCCAGTATGCGACCTCATGTGGCGTTTCATCATGCTCACCTGTGCCGTGGTGAGGGGGGGGGGGGGGTGTGTGTGGGGACGGGGACATCAACGGGGTTAGACAGGCTAGGTAGGTGTCAGCCGCCGCTGGCTCCGTCGGCGTTCCGATTGGAAGCTTTCGCGGCCGCAACGGATTCACCTTCACGGGTTTTCAAAGTCACCGCCAACGTAAGAAGAAGGGAAATGATGATGATGATGATGATAATCATAATGAAATAATGAGAACGAAACAACGCGATCAAATGAGATGCTCCCGACGTTTCGGCCGTCTGCCAATGCCAGGAGCGCCGTCTTTCCCGGCAGTTCGCCTGAAGACGGGCTTGCTCGTGCTGTGGCCGAAACGTCGTGGGAAGATTATTTTGCCGTGTTGTTATTTTATTATTTTGTTATTATTTTGTTAGCTCCCTTCTACGCGGTGACTTTTACCGAAAGAACCATCAAGATTGATCGGCGTTGTTGGCCCGCCCAACTTCCAGCCCCGCCCACTTCCAGCCCCGCCCACTTCCAGCCCCGCCCACTCCCAGCCCCGCCCACTTCCAGCCCCGCCCACTTCCCCCCACCCCCAGCTTCACGTCCATCTCCTAGCATCCATGCAACACTCCCCCCCCTCCCTGAACCCTCCCCCCTCCCCTCCCCCTACACCCCTCCCCTACCCCCCTCCCCTCCCATAACACAAACGTCGTGAGAATTGTTATTGTTTAATATATATATTTTATTATTTTGTTGTTTCCCTTCAACGTGACTTTACCGAAAAAAACTAAGAATATGTTATTTATTTATTTAGCGAATGCAAAGTCTCTCGAAGCCAAGCGGTTGCTTCCGGTCCTGCTGTGCTGAGTTTGTGGATTGGGCAGACTTCTAGGATGTGGTGCATGGTTTTATCCACCCCAGAGGCACAAATTGGGGCTTGCTCATTTGCCCCAGCGGCGGAGGTTAGTGAGGCTTGGCCCGTGACCAGTCCTGAACCTGCTGAGGGTGGACCGCTCCTGCCTGGGGAGGTTGAAACTAGGGGGCTGCTTTTGTGTGGGGGTAGTAAAGAGGTTCCGGTGACTCCCGTTCTTGCGTTCAGGTGAGATTTGTGTTGAGGTGGGTAGGTTGGTGAGTGAGTGGGTGGGTGAGTGAGTGGGTGGGTGAGTGATTGGGTGGGTGAGTGAGTGGGTGGGTGAGTGAGTAGGTGGGTGGGTGAGTGAGTGGGTGGGTGAGTGGGTGGGTAGGTGGGTGGGTGGGTGAGTGAGTGGGTGGGTGAGTGGGTGGGTGAGTGGGTGGGTGGGTGAGTGGCTGGGTGAGTGAGTGGGTAGGTGAGTGAGTGGGTGGATGGGTGGGTGAGTGAGTGAGTGGGTGGGTGGGTGAGTGAGTGGGTGGGTGAGTGAGTGAGTGTTTGGGTGAGTGAGTGAGTGGATAGGTGGGTGAGTGGGTGAGTGAGTGAGTGGATGGGTGGGTGATTGGGTGAGTGAGTGGATGGGTGCGTGGGTGAGTGGGTGGGTGAGTGAGTGGGTGGGTGGATGCGTGGGTGGGTGAGTGAATGAGTGAGTGGGTGAGCGAGTGAGTGGCTGGGTGAGTGAGTGAGGGAGTGGGTGAGTGGGTGGGTGAGTGAATGAGTGGGTGAGTGAATGAGTGGGTGAGCGAGTGAGTGAGTGGCTGGGTGAGTGAGTGGGTAGGTGGGTGAGTGAGTGGGTGGGTGAGTGAGTGGGTGAGTGAGTGGGTGAGTGAGTGGGTGAGTGAGTGAGTGGGTAGGTGGGTGAGTGGGTGGGTGAGTGGGTGGGTAAGTGAGTGAGTGGATGGGTGGGCGACCGAGCGAGCGAGCGAGTGGCTGGGTCTTTCCAAATCGGCTTTCTTGAGGGGGGCGGCGGCGGCGGGGGGGGGCGGGGGTCCTCATCTTTGGGTGGGCTCGAGAGGTCCCCCTGTGGAGCGGCCAGATGCGTGGGGGCGTTGGCGGATCATATTTCAATATTTTTTCTGGGTTGTTGAAGAGTCTCCGGACACGTGGTGGCCGGGTGACGTTTGCCCGGACAGGGAGCAAGGGGGAAGTGGGGTGGATCGCACACGGCCGGCTTTTTCGCTGTGCGTCGACTCTTCTGCACGTGCACGTGTGACGACCTTGGCCAGGACCAGTGCACGGTATAGCGCCACCGGCTCCCATGACTAGTTTGGAGATGACGTTGTTCCTGCTGTTGTTCTCAGGTGCTCCCGGAAGGTGAGCGACCTGTCCAGGGTCACACCCGAGGTTTGTGTGGGGGTGGTGGAGGGTGGTGGTGGTGGTGGCGCTGTATAGCTTGCGGTTGTTCATCTGGATGTCGAGCTCGAAATTTGGCCTCGGCGGTGTTTTTTTTTCCCGCAGGGCTCGGTTTTGTGTTTGAGCCGCCGACGTCCGACGGCATCTTCTTTGGTTCTTTCGGTAAAAGTCACCGACCACGTAGAATGATGATAAAATAATAAAATAACACAATGAAATTCTCACGACGTTTCGGTAAAGTCACCACCACGTAGAATGATGATAAAATAATAAAATAACACAATGAAATTCTCACGACGTTTCGGTAAAGTCACCACCACGTAGAATGATAATAAAATAATAAAATAAAACATTGAAATTCTCACGACGTTTCGATAAAGTCACCACGTAGAATGATAATGAAATAATAAAATAACACAATAAAATTCTCACGACGTTTCGCTAAAGTCACCACCACGTAGAATGATAATAAAATAATAAAATAACACAATAAAATTCTCACGACGTTTCGGTAAAGTCACCACCACGTAGAATGATAATGAAATAATAAAAATAAAACAATGAAATTCTCACGACGTTTCGGTAAAGTCACCACGTAGAATGATAATGAAATAATAAAAATAAAACAATGAAATTCTCACGACGTTTCGGTAAAGTCACCACCACGTAGAATGATAATAAAACAATAAAATAAAACAATAAAATTCTCACGACGTTTCGGTAAAGTCACCACGTAGAATGATAATAAAATAATAAAAATAAAACAATGAAATTCTCACGACGTTTCGCTAAAGTCACCACCATGTAGAATGATAATAAAACAATAAATAAAACAATAAAATTCTCACGACGTTTCGCTAAAGTCACCACCACGTAGAATGATGATAAAATAATAAAATAACACAATAAAATTCTCACGACGTTTCGGTAAAGTCACCACCACGTAGAATGATAATAAAATAATAAAATAACACAATAAAATTCTCACGACGTTTCGGTAAAGTCACCACCACGTAGAATGATGATAAAATAATAAAATAACACAATAAAATTCTCACGACGTTTCGGTAAAGTCACCACCACGTAGAATGATGATAAAATAATAAAATAAAACAATAAAATTCTCACGACGTTTCGCTAAAGTCACCACCACGTAGAATGATGATAAAATAATAAAATAACACAATAAAATTCTCACGACGTTTCGGTAAAGTCACCACCACGTAGAATGATAATGAAATAATAAAAATAAAACAATGAAATTCTCACGACGTTTCGGTAAAGTCACCACCACGTAGAATGATGATAAAATAATAAAATAAAACAATAAAATTCTCACGACGTTTCGGTAAAGTCACCACCACATAGAATGATAATAAAATAAAACTATAAAATTCTCACGACGTTTCGGTAAAGTCACCACGTAGAATGATGATAAAATAATAAAAATAAAACAATAAAATTCTCACGACGTTTCGGTAAAGTCGCTACCACGTAGAATGATGATAAAATAATAAAATAACACAATAAAATTCTCACGACGTTTCGGTAAAGTCACCACCACGTAGAATGATAATAAAATAATAAAATAAATCAATAAAATTCTCACGACGTTTCGGTAAAGTCACCACGTAGAATGATAATAAAATAATAAAATAAAACAATAAAATTCTCACGACGTTTCGGTAAAGTCACCACCACGTAGAATGAAAATAAAATAATAAAAATAAAACAATGAAATTCTCACGACGTTTCGGTAAAAGTCACCACCACGTAGAATGATAATAAAACAATAAAATAAAACTATAAAATTCTCACGACGTTTCGGTAAAGTCACCACCACATAGAATGATAATAAAATAAAACTATAAAATTCTCACGACGTTTCGGTAAAGTCACCACCACGTAGAATGATAATAAAATAATAAAAATAAAACAATGAAATTCTCACGACGTTTCGGTAAAGTCACCACCACGTAGAATGATAATAAAACAATAAAATAAAACTATACAATTCTCACGACGTTTCGGTAAAGTCACCACCACATAGAATGATAATAAAATAAAACTATAAAATTCTCACGACGTTTCGGTAAAGTCACCACCACGTAGAATGATAATAAAATAATAAAATAAAACAATAAAATTCTCACGACGTTTCGGTAAAGTCACCACCACGTAGAATGATAATAAAATAATAAAATAAAACAATAAAATTCTCACGACGTTTCGGTAAAGTCACCACGTAGAATGATAATGAAATAATAAAAATAAAACAATGAAATTCTCACGACGTTTCGGTAAAGTCACCACCACGTAGAATGATAATAAAACAATAAATAAAACAATAAAATTCTCACGACGTTTCGCTAAAGTCACCACCACGTAGAATGATAATAAAACAATAAAATAAAACAATAAAATTCTCACGACGTTTCGGTAAAGTCGCTACCACGTAGAATGATAATAAAATAATAAAATAACACAATAAAATTCTCACGACGTTTCGGTAAAGTCACCACGTAGAATGATAATAAAATAATAAAAATAAAACAATGAAATTCTCACGACGTTTCGCTAAAGTCACCACCACGTAGAATGATAATAAAATAATAAAATAACACAATAAAATTCTCACGACGTTTCGGTAAAGTCACCACCACGTAGAATGACAATAAAATAATAAAATAAAACAATAAAATTCTCACGACGTTTCGCTAAAGTCACCACGTAGAATGATAATAAAATAATAAAATAAAACAATAAA